TCTTCTAAATGATACCAAATAGCTCAACTAAAGCTATTTGGTATCAGTTAGTTAGGCTATTTGGTACAAGTTAGCTTTGCTAAATGATATCATTTAGCTCCCGAACATTTTTCCGCGGAACTTTTCTACGTAACATTTTTCCTCGGAACCCCTCAATTATAAATAGGAAGATAACAGAATTCAAATGATCGATTTTTCATTCAGAGCTATTATTGACATCGGAGCATTATGAAAAAATTAAAGAGCACCACGGAGGATCCTCCTTAGTGATAAAAAAGAACTTTTACTCTTTTCTCTGATAAAATAGCTCTGAAATTGATAGAACTCTTATTTGAATCAATATTTCATTAAAAATAGGTGATTGCTGGAATAATAACTTCATGTTTCAATATACCGATGAGACGGTGAGTAAAATGAGAAAGAAGAGATATGATGATTTTTAATTTAAATTTCGATTTGTCTTTATCCCACAGAAGAAGCAGTTGAAGTCAATTTGCCTTGTCGATTGGCAACTGTCTCATTATTCTCCACCTGTAATTGACCTACTGTAATTGACACACTGAAGAATAAAATATAAATTCAAATAATCAATGTATACATAAATTCTCAGGTACAATATATTCACAGGAACAGACCATGAATTCCGTGCTCAGCATTATGAGACGTTGTTGAAAACATACCACACATCATTGAGCGATACAATAAGAAAACTCGGAAGTGATCCTGATAAATTGTACACGTATGATGATTTGATCATGCAAATGAAAAAATTCAGTGATTATGCATTGTTACTGGCCCCACTAATCATTTCGATTCGAGTAGCTAAAGCAAAGGACATATCGAATTTGGACGAATATGCTGAACATTGTGAACGAAACGAAAGTGTTGAAATGCTTGGTAAATTTGACGATGACACTCAAGCTGAATTTAGTCGACTAATGAATGGCCTACTCACTGATCTTGTTGATTATGGTTATGTAAAATGTGAATAAAAAATGTAAATGTGGATGTAAACTTGAAATTTCAAAGGTATAGTTCAACCTATCAACTTTTTGTTAAGCACGGATGGAGGAAAAAATTAGTATCACCTATGTTTTATAATTTTTACGCACGGTTATTATTTCTTTTTATTATTAATAAATTTGGGTTCTTTTTTTTTATCTAGAATTGAATATCAGAATGTTATATTGTTGATTTTTTTTTTTTTTTCATACTTTTAAGTACATACCTAATTGTCTTTGATATTACTGTCTATGAATTTCGTATACTCAAACCGTTTCGTGAATAGACTGACGTCACAGATAAATTTGCGATATTTTCGCAAGTCATATTCACAAGTGCATTTTGTGCACAACGTATTCAGACGGCGATTTTATGATACACTTCCGAACGAAAGGTTCAGAGTATTGAATAGATTTCTGGGGGTCTGGAAAAATTGTGATATTTTTCATTTTTATATGTTTTAATTATAGGTAATGTTACTGCTCTACTTGTATAAACCACTCGGTTTCAGTTGATCTACAGTCACTGTACATGCTTGACTCAACAGTCACTCAATTTATTTTTACTCAACATTGAACTGTTCATCGACTGATGAATAGCACCCTGTACTCTCGTAAAATTTTGAACATTTCATTGCATTTTTGCTACATAAAATGTAGCAAAGACGTATTACAATCATCATAATGATAAAATATGATTTCGTTAAAGTAGAAGCAAACAATTGATAAAAAAATTGTTTTAGTAATCAAATGCTTCAACAACTTTGAGTGGAATCTAATTGCTATCTTTTCAAATAAAGTTTTATGTCAAATCATTCTCGTATGCTAAGAGTTTCGCGTTTACTTTATCGCAAGCTTTAAATTACCGGAAAGTTTTTTTCATTCGGTACATAAAATGAATGGATATCTACCGACATTTAGTAAATGAGTCTCGCAAGACCGACTTTTATCGCGTTAATTTTTGTTCATTGGTTTTGAAAATTTTTCAAAAATGTTGCCAGACTATGTGACAAATTGTATCCATAAAATTTCCAAATCCGAAGGTTTCATCGATTATCGTATCGAAATGAAGGATTCTTCAAGTCATGGGGATAATTTTATGGGTATCATGATTGCAACAAAATTGTCTGGCACACGTAGTCAAAATGGAACAGTCCAATACTATGAATTGCATTTACTGTGCAAAATACCACCAATGAATGAAATTCGACAAAAAAAATTCAATTCCTCATTAGTATTTGAACGTGAACTTTACACGTACACGAAAATATTGCCAGCATTTGTACGATTTCAGCACGAAAGGGGATTAAGTGATGCCGAGTCGAAGATTTACGACCGAAAAACTATGTAATGTTGCCAAAGGAAAAAATAGTTCCCATCGACAATGCGTTAATGGTTATGCGTGAAGTGGGTAAATTTCATGCGATTTCATTTGCATTGAAAGATCAATGTCCAAATGAATTTGAAGAGTTTAAACAACTTAAAGAAGCTTTTGTTGGAGTCTTTTTAAAAACTCATCTGAAACCATTTGTACCACAATGCTTAGAACGTGTTATTGATACACTGGACAATCCCGAACACAAAAAAATCCTCGAAAAATTCCAAACGAATTTTATGGAACGGCTGGAAAACTTGATGACCAGATGCTTTTTTTGTCTTAAATCACGGAGACCTTTGGTCAAATAACTACCTCTCCCAATATAGTGACGATTCAGTGAGTAAATTATGAAAAAAAAAACATTTTTTCCTCGAATAAAATTAAATGTTAATTTCTATTTCACAGAAGAAGGAGTTGAAATCGGTTTGCTTTCTTGACTTTCAACTTGTTCACCACTCGGCGCCGGTAACGGATTTAATGTACAATATATTCACAGGAACAGATCATGAATTTCGTGCTCAACATTATGAGACGTTGTTGAAAACATATTATACATCATTGAGCGAAACAATAAAAAAACTCGGAGGTGATCCTGATAAATTGTACACGTATACAAATTTTCGCATGCAAATGAAAAAATTCGGTGATTACGCATTGCTGTTTGGTATACTGCTGACATTATTTCGAATCGCTAAAGCAAAGGATGTATCGAATTTGGACGAATATGCTGAATGTCATGAACGAAATGACAGTGTTGAAATGCTTGGTAAATTTGACGATGACACTCAAGCTGAATTTAGTCGATTAATGAATGGCCTGCTCACTGATGTTGTCGATTACGGTTATGTTAAATGCGAATGGACTTTTTCCATATGCTCACCGCCCACCGATTGAATGTGATCGCCTTCAAAATAGCTTGCAACCTAATTGATCGGCAGGGTCTATCGGTTTAACTCTACCCCCATAACAAATACATAAACAAATCAATCAATTGATATTTCAAGCATTCATGCCAACTAATCTTTTTATATTAACAAAAACAAAAATCATAAGTTGCTTAATGAAAATAACGGCCCAATAAATGATTTCGGCCCAATTACATCATTTTAATCTCTCTGGTATTTTTTGAATTGTCATTTTTTATTTTAATTCGGCATTCCTTTTTTCAAATAGCAAAGAGTCACTTGTAATTCCTTTCCTCCAGCTCCGTTTACGGTAATTTCGACAATCGATCCATCCACTGAACGATTGTAAAATGTTTCGATGAATCCAACGGAACGATATCTGTCAGAGATGAAGCAGTTGCAACTAGACACAAATCAGCAATAGTCATTTCAATGCCACAAATATAAAATATCCCAAGCGATTTGAATGTATTTAATGCGATCTTCAGGCATTTCGCATGATTTGTAGAATAAAATTGGTTCATACAAAAAACGCAAACGTGCAAATAGATGACCAGAGTCAAAATGCAGAATATGGATCTTTGAAGAAAAAGGATCTAGAGATGAAATATCAGTCTGTTACAGTTGAGAATTATTTAAAAAAAAATAGATTATTTTCCCTAAAATTGTATTGCAATTGTAATGAGAAGTACCTACATTTAACAGATGGAATGTATTTTCAAACAGAAAAAAATCGATGTATTAAATGGATGCAAATTGCCAATTGATTATTGCTAGTCAATAAATACCATTTCCTCTCTGAGGATGCACCCTTATGGTTTGAATCTGTCGATCGCATACAATTTATATTTCGAAAAAAGTAAAATTAGACTTTAACTAAAGCAAGTGAAAGAAAGACTTTTTGAGCAAAATATAGTATTTCAGGTACTTTATTTATTGAAGTTTGATGCTTTTTGTATTACATGCTAACTGATGAAACTGATATCTGATAGTTCTACGAGTAAAGGCGGTGATGTCAAGGATGTGCAATGCTGAAAACAAAAATAGTTTCAATTAGTTAAAAATGGTTGCATATGTTTCAGATAAACTTACTTTGCGGACACATCTGTGCTGAAATGAGCCCTTTTGGCAATAATATTCGAACCGTCTGATGTGAAAATGGCCGATGCCACCTCATACTCAACTCATACAACGTGTCTTCATTTAAATGAATTCCTTCGAAACAGACTTTGTATTTTTGGGTTAGATACAAAGTTTTCATCGCCATCGGAATTGAATGGGCAAGTCTTGATTTACTCACAGGAGAAATACTTCTAATTGGCTTAAATTTGCCTGTATTTAGGAGATTATAAAATTCGATTATTTACAATGCGCGATATATTGAAAATAAACACAAAGAGAATTGATATCCACTACACAATAACAGAATTTCTTGAATAGAAATATGCGAAAGACTTGTCACATCCGATAACTCCATGAAACTTTGATATCATATTCAAAATATGAGGTCTGTACTGACAACAGATCTTACGTATAAATACCCGTTTGGTGCAAGTTTTTTTAGATAAACATATTTGCAAGGAGCATGAGAAAACTAAGTATGACATTTATTTTGAGTTAACATTAAATTTCGATGTAAAAAGTGCAAAACTGTGAATTCTGGTATAGGGGCTGATATGTTTGCGTTGGACCTTATAAGTTAAGTATTTTCCGCTTATGTGTAAGTTTTTTTTCATAATGCTGATATTTAAAATCATTGAAATGAATTATTCCTTGATATTGATAAAAATAAAGTTTTCATGAGTTATCGTTCTGACTGACTTCATCAAATACAACCAATTGGTAGCATAACTGCTATCTTCGTGTATTACTCTGTTTCAATGAATCTATTCTAAGAAATCTTCATTATTCATTAAGAAATCACCCCCCCTTTTCAAATAAAAAATATTTGCTTTGGAATTAAAATACCTGTTTTAAAGCAGTTTGCGATTTCTCGCAACGAATTTCTGAAAAAAGGCAGTAAATGCGAAAAAAAACTCCAAAAAATGTTTCGATGATTGTTAAGCAAAAAATATAGTTGGTAATATTTTATTAAACATTTCACTGAGTGTTTAAAACATAACTCAAAACGGATGTCAGAACGGCACGACTGACAAAAACTGAATGTTGGTGTTTTTTTAACGTGTATTTATTCGATTGTGTGTGGGTGTTCATTTCTTTTAATTATTATTCATACGAAGCGCAATACTATAAATTAAACCAAAAAAATTTGATGAGTGTTTATTGTTTCTCTGGCTTGTTAGATTGATGGTAGAAAAATAAAATGCTAGTGTGTGGTTTGAGAGTGTTGTATATGCATATATGTGGTTGTTTAGTATCCATGGCCATGGCTGTCGTTTGGCGAGCGGATATCGTCGATTTTCAATATCATTTTAACGAGTTGTGTGGCCAAAATGAGTTGCTGTTTCTTTGAATGCAATGATTCGATGACGTGATGTTTTTTCATATCTGATTCACCGGTAAGCATACAATCAACACCCAATGATGAGCATTTTTCGTTAACATGTCGTGATTTCAATTCCGATAATGTTTCAATTGGTGCTAGTCCACTGTTTTCGGCCAATGCCAATGGAATACTTTCGAGTGCAACGCTGAACGATCTGAATGCATATTGTTCAAGTGATGACAATTGATCGGCTTCCTTGGCAACAGCCAATGAGCATGCAATTTCAGCAGCACCGCCACCATAAACGATACGCGAATCTTTGATCAATGAGCGTACAACACACAATGCATCATGAATCGAACGTTTTGCTTCGGCAATAATCATTTGATTGCCGCCACGAATTAAAATTGTAACAGCTTTTGTATTTTTACAATCTTCGATCACCAACATTTTATCTTTTGTTGTGCCAAATGCCAATTCACGTACGATGCCCGCATTACCCAATTTATCAGCGCTCAATTCTTCGAAACGTGGCACAATGCGACCACCAGTTGCAATTGCAATCAATTCAATTTCAGGACCACCAACCTAGAGTGAATCAGAATGAATCAGAAAAGAAAAATCGAATTAATGGAAATTAATAAACATGTAATGGAACGAAATGGCAATAATGAAAAAAAAAAGAATGGACCACAAACCCATCGAACGGCCGGCAAATTTTGTTGCAACAACAAATGATTTGCTTCGTCGTCAAAACCCCATTGACATATAGCCAATGTTGCTCCGGCTTCTTTCACTTGTTTCACCATTGTTGCGAATTTTTCCGCTTCGTAGGCACGCAATTTTTTATAATCTTCGGCCGATTTAACATCCAACTTATGCTTGGTTTTTGGCTTTGGTGGTTCAAATGGACAGGTTAAAATTGCCATTTTTACATCCTATAAAAATAACCATATGAAGAAAGATTTTATTTACTGATGGAATGTTTGCAAAGTGATGGGCCTTTACGCATATTTACCTTCATGCTTTTTGGCATTTGTGGATGACTCATTGTTTTGTCTAATACAACACCTTTTACTAACATCGTATCTTCCATGCGACCACCGACTTTGCCTTCGATTTTAATCAATTCAAAGTTAACATCTTTCTTTTCCAAATCTGCAAAACAATCCAAATCAATTAGAAAACACATTTCAAATTAGAAGGAATAATGGAAGATGCCGGAGTAAGAGATCTAAAAATGGTTCAAAAAAATATGTAAAACAAAATTGCATACCGGCAACAGTGAGAACGGCATTAACTGCAATTTCGGCCATTTGACGATGACATTTATTGATGATTTTGCTGCCAAGTGTGGTCATTGCAACGCGTACCAATGGTTCAATGTCATTCAACGAAACTGGAAACGGTTCAGCTATCGAATCCAAACACTTAACAGCGCATTGTGCGGCCAATTCAAAACCGTCAGCAATTCGAATTGGATGAATGCCCCGATCAAGTAATGCTTCAGCTTGATCCAACAGAGCTCCGGCCAATACAACAACACCAGTTGTACCATCACCGATTTCATCGTCTTGCGATTGACTCAATTGTACCATTAATTTACCAATTTCATGTTCAACATCCATCATCTTTAAAATGGTTGCACCGTCATTTGTCACAGTCACATCACCATCACTGCTAACCATCATTTTATCCAAACCTTTTGGACCGAGCGATGTTTTTAACGTCGATGCAATTTGTTTGCCAGCCATAATGTGACTCTAAATGAACAGAAAAAAAGAATTTGATTTATTTAAAATAGCATTGGTGAAATATGTAAAGTTCATGCTAAATAAAAAAAGGATTCACAAAATTCGTCATCTATTTCCAGAACAATCGACATGTGCATGTATATTATTGAACATAATGGGCGGAGCTAAACAAATTCTTGATCACAAGACAACAGATTTTTCGTAAAACTCAAATAAAATTCATTTTACGAATGAAATTGCGTTTGTCATGGCTTAAACTTAGTGCACATCGATGAAAATCAAACATTTCAAGCATTATTCACGTAAAATCATCACAGTTTTCATAATATTTCATTGATTTTTGTTCATTTTTTTTTCTGTGTGTTGCCCATTGTATGATTCATAATCCGTATACAGTGTTTGATATTTTCCATTCAAAACTAACCTTAATTGCATCGTTGCCTGTGAGACGCTTTTGCTGGTCCTGGTCACGTAAAATGATGAAAGGCTTGCCAAATTCATCAAAAGCAATACTGCCGGGAAACGAAACCATTGTTTTAAATTAAATTTAACACAATTTTCACACCGATGATTTTCGATTAAAATGTTATTTCGTTTTGTTCGATTTGGACGTAGCCGGGTCTTTTCCACTACACAATTATGCACAATGAAGTTGACTGACAATCACGCGCCCTACTAGCTGTCAAATTGAAACACTGTCACATGCTACCGATTCGATACAACTTAAAAGTCAACCGAATTAAGTACGAACAAGTGAGTTAAGTATGCAAGACGATTTAAATCTATTTGGATTTACTTAACGTTGAAATTATATTCTTGTATGAATTAATGAGTTTCACTTCTTTTTTGAATTAAAATTTCCCTGATTATGAGAAAAAAAATGAAGACAATTTTATGAAATTGATTGAATCAAACGAGAAACGAGAAAAAATGGAAACTTTTTTTCAAAACCGAATCGGTTTATGAAATTGATCGATGGTGTATCTAAGACGTATGGAGACTGCATAAATTGTGCATACTCAAAAGCAAAACTGTCAAGCAAACATCGTTCATGCGCCCATGTATGTACATACATACATTCATGAACAAACGCAATAAATTTTGTGTTAACCTGTGCGGCAATTGGTAAATACACAGATAAACACGCCACAAACACATTCGCCGCATCTTAGCCAGTCCCATGATATCGTATTGTGTCTGAAAGAAGCAGCCAAATTATCAAAAACTAAATACGTTAAGTATATCGCAAATACATGCAATTCAATTGGTGTGTCTGAGCCGTTGTTGGTATGTGTTTTCGGTATTTTCGTAGTCAGTGAAACGAATGAGAGAATAGACGAGAGAAAAGCAAATATATATAAACACAGAGTAGCAAAACGAAAAAGAAGAAGGAGATCAAGAGAGAGAGCAAGAACAGAGCTGAATAAAAAAAAGAAGAAAAACCCTTAATGGCGACGTTTCTCATTAAATGAGTGTATTTGTACTGCATGAGAGTGCTTGTGCTGTTTTCGTGCACGAACGGAATTTTCTTTATTTCAAATTTGATTTTTCGGCCTCATCAATAACCAGCAAATCAATAACACAACATTTCTATTGACGACGGCGAAAAAAAGGTTTTTACATTTATTTTTCATTGCGACAACAACGACGAAGACAACATCGACGTAATCAACAAAAAAAAAATTCTCTTTTTTTTCTCCGCATTTTTTGTAACTTTTTTTTCGTCAATTGTTGTTTTTTTTTTCTTCGTTCTCAATGTGTGTGCATTTGTGCTTCAATCATTTGATGCGGTTGTGAAAATTGCGTGCATGCCACCCGAAAAAAGAGGAAACTATTTCTTTTTCAAGAAATCATACATCTAATTAGATTTCTTACCTATTGAACATCGATTGAAAATACATTTTGAAATAGTGCGTGTAGAAGTGTGTACATCGGGCGAAAAGTGTGTGCAAAATTCAATGTGTAATTGCTTTTAATTTGGGGAGGGCGGAATGTGAATCAATTCAGCAGGCTGTCAATTTAATTATTGCGGTGAGATTCGAGTTTTAGACATCAGACCCCATCAAACAACCAATTTATGGTGCACATTATAAAGCAAATAGCAATCAAATTCAACGACAATTTTATATATGTGTGTGTGTTGGTGTATACCAACAGATAAACTAGATAAGGTTCATTAAGTTCTATTTGGTTTTTCTTCGATGCGAAATCGAAAAGAGAAATTTAGTGAATGTTTTCATGCGTGGACACCGCAGTTATCAAACAAATTGAAAATCTGATATGGGCATAGTAAACAACAAATCGAATTGGTTTGGGAATTAATTTGTGTATTGCAATGTTTCAATGAAGAGTTCAATTTTTGATAATAAACGGCATATATTAAAAGATAGATAATGTTAATGGTGGTTTTTCGTGGAATTGACAACAACACCAACGGGTGTGATTTGGAAACACACACATAAAAGATAAATAAACAAACAAGAAGATATTGCGTTGAATTTTGGGCTCTTAGTTTTTGTATGCAATGATTTTCAAACGACGATCGATTAGCACATTACGCTGCAACACAATCATCATAGATATTCAAAAATACATACAGCCATTTTTGCCTTTCATCAATTCAAAAGAAACGAATCCAAATATTCACGAAACAGAAACCAATCTAGTAAAATATAATGTATTTCGTAGCACAAACGGTATGTGGTTTTGAATGGTGTATCTCCGTACTAACAAACAATTATACACAAAGATAGATCCAATAATACACACACGTACACATAAATCGATTTTGTTTAGCGAATTAAAATAAAGAACATTAAAACCGAGAGTGAGTGAGAGAGTGAACGAGATAGAGAGTGAGTGAGAAGTGGACACTTGAATGCGTGTTTCATACGTGTTCATATGTTCAAGTTAAATATTTTTTAGCAACAATACCAAAAACGAACAAGAAACAAGCCGAAAACAAAAGAAAAAGAACCACATATAGTTTGCCATTTCATCAACAAAACAGAACCAAAGCAAAAGAGAGAACACACAAATGCAAGTGAATTAAAATTAAAATAAATAAAAGACTGAATTGAGAGAGAGCGAGATAGTAAAATAAGCGAGGTATAAATATATATAAATAAAGCAATGCAAAATATGTAATAGAAAAAAAGGAAGCTGAAAAGTACAAGGAAAGTACAACAAAAACAAATGTATGGCAATAAATAGACGATAGAATGAGATCGGGAGACAAAAGACGACGAAATGAATGTTGTGGAGCTAATAAGTGCAAAAAAAGTGTGAGAGAAAGATAGGCGATAAAAACAGCATAAAACACAAATATCGGTGTATAGTCGGGGTCTAGGTGGATATAAACATATCACAGACTGACTCTCACACCGTAACATCGCAAATGTGTAAAGCAATCAAGTAACAACAAATATCGACTTGATCTCGGATCTTGGATCTTGGGCTGCTTGAAGAAGAAGAAAAAAGACACAGCACAGCAACCAAAAAGAAATACATAAATTTTTGTGTGTGCGTTGTCGTTTTTTTTTTGTATGTCTCTCTCATTCGATTCCTCCTTCTTACCCGCGCTCATATTCATTATTATTATTATTCCTTTTGTTGGTTCTTGTTGTTTTTTTCCCTCCCATTGTATTAATGGGTGTATGTCGCGAAATTCTATACGCGAAAAATACACATACGTCGAGAGTGCATATAACAATGATAAATCTAAAATTGACATTAATATACACGGGCTTTTTTGAGTCACTCTATCTATAAATGTGTCCCGGTGTCGGTCGTAAGCAACGATACAACATAAAACTAGAGCGCATTTGGTAAAATTCTCTGGCTTCATTTTGCTTATTATCCGGTACACAAAATTGGACTGTGTATTGCAAAATATTGAGCACGCCAATAGAAATTTTATGCATATATTCAATCGGACAGTTTCATTTGTGTTTCTCCCATATATTCGTTTTTTGCACAACATACATTAAATCACATTCAGCAATAACAGTGACTAAATAAAAGCTAAAGCTATTCATTTTTTTCTTTCTTCAAAGCAACAATTTGCGCCATAAAATAACAAGAACGCTAATACGATCGAGAGAAGTAAGCAAATGAAAGAGCATACATCACATAATACAATTGAAATATATATAAGCAACACAAAATTTGTTGCGGTGTGTACGATTCAGTTCAATTTGCAAATGAAAAATAAAAGAACAACACAGAGAGAAAGAGAACGCATTTCTTCAATATTTAACTACCAACCACGCAACAATAACCATACCGATGATAACATCGATTAGATAAAGAACGAAAAGAGATCGCGCCTTTTCAACTCATGTGTAAACATAAATTTCTTTCTGATACGATAGCGCCCGACACAGAACAAAATACTAATTTAACGCGACAAATAAACAACATTTTCTTTATAGAACAGAATTGATAAACGCATATACAAACACACGAGCGATAGGAGATAGATTCAAGTTGAAATCGTCTATTTGGACCATAATATGCAATCGTTATATTCAATTCAAACGCATCGGCACTCGAAGTAGCACGTGTGAAATTTCAAATTAAACACAAATCAATTGACGATTTCAGTGATTGATTGTTGTGATTGGTTATCAATCTTTGCAATATCAATTAAAATCATTCGATCGAACGATCGATCAATTCAACCAACAAGAACAAGTAATCACATTTCTATATAAGTGTGCACAGCTGCGCTTTTGGCGGTTATCGTTGTTATTTCGTTGTCACTTCTTGTTTGGTTTAAATTGAAATGCTCGAGCAATATAGTTAACCGAGCTGCATACATCGATCAGCACAAACGGTGATTTTAATGTACCAAAACAAAATTTGAATAAATATTTCCCCTCGCGGGCACATATCTCTCGTGAATAAAGAGAGAGAGAGAGAAAGGAAAGGTAGAAAGAGTAGCTAGAATCGAAAAAAATGAGGGTGTGCGAAACATCTCGCACATAACGACTTATATTTAAATCAATAAACAACCAGCAATATACAAAAAAAATTGCGAGTTTAGCACTGTGTGTGCACAAGTTTGTATAAAACGAAACATTTATCTATCGTCAAGATCGGGTGTGCGTATGTGTGTGATTATCATCGGATATTGTATATATGCATATATATATTTTATCTAGTGATAATATATGGTGAATGCGCGAATGTTGGCGCATACATTACGGAATTTCAATTCCGATTTCATTCAAATAAACAATCATCGCGACCGACACAGAATTGATTCGACAAAAAAAAAATTCGTACAAATTGTGGCAAGCGCGTTACGATGCAGCATTAAGTGAGAGAGTAAAACGCGAAATAAAAGCACAACAAACGATAGACAAGGATCGAACGATTTTCTGAAGATATTAAGCGCAAAGAAAGCAAAAAAATTAATCAGTGTTTTACAAACTGTAATTCGCTGTACATAAATATTTTTTTTTGTGGAAAGTATTTTTTTTTTGCCCCCTTCCCGTTTTTTATCATCCGTACGTTTTTTCTTTCGTCTTCTGTAAACGAACCTAAGGTCGTTCATTTAAACGACAGAAAGAGGAAAAACAACGTCAGTAAATAAGTTATTATTAGGCACATAGATTGTGTGACGCTAAGAAAACCGAAACACTTTCAATTCAATTTAGACACAATTGTAAAGTGAAGTTTGCGCAGTGAGTGAGACTATTAATGACAGAGTGGAAGAGTGTGAAGACTAACGGAATTTGAGTAAAGAGACAAAAAACGCAACAACGACGAAGAAAAAGTTAACAAAACAGAAACCACAGAAGACCATCTGGAATTAATGCAAATTTTGTTCTTTTTTTAGTGTTTTTGACATTTAATTAAAGATCGATGCTACGATGCCAGTTTGGAAAAAAAATTGGCAATGTTTAGTCTGCATGGCATTGAATTTATACAATAAACAATAATAACATTGGGGGGAGAGAGAGAGAGAGAGAGAGAGAGGTCGAAAAAGAAAGAGAAATACATATATTGCGGGAATTAAAAGCAAACCAACCGCTCGAAGTAGCGGCGCTTGAAATTGCCGTATTTATTTGACGTACTTGTTACTCAGGGTAACAGTTTTAAAAACAAACGGTTTTTGTTGCAAAAACACATAATGGCACATTTTCATCATCGAAACGCACAGCAAATTATCCGATTGCATAGTGGCATATTGCTCGGATTCATTGTGCTAACGATATCAACAATTAACAACGGTAAGTAATACTAAGTATTGATTTGAACGTACATTTTTAGAATGAACATTTACATATGAATCGGTTCGTTAGCTCAGAAAAAAAATTCGAATTTGTTAAAATAAAAGAGCAACATATTCATGAATGATCATTTCAACTATATTTTTTGTCACTGTTGGCAAAACTGTTTCCACCGGTGCAAAATTACTCTTTGCCCGAGATATTGAGCGAAGTGTAGGATAGTTAACTATTGGGGCAGACTGAAACATTCAGGAGTGGGAAGGGGAGGGGTAATAAAAATTTCTTCTAATTTTTAAAGGGGTAATTTCAAAAATTATGAGGGGGTAAATATAGCTTTTAGTGTAAAAATAAGGAGTTTTTTATTCCATCCGGATCAAAATTACCCCCCTCCACCCCCTGTCTGCCCAGCTATGGTTAACCTCCTCCTAGCACGAAATAAACCAATTTACACAATTGAAAATCCTATAGATCTTAATATTAATTCGTTCGTAATAACTAATTCCCATGTCACAGCATCTACCATTCATCGGCAATCACGTGAAATAGACAGTGAAACGCAAATTACAATAAAACATTCGGCGATGAGCAGCGGCAGCAGTGTCATCGCCAACAAAAATGACACAATTAGTAGTTCAAATAGTAATAGTAGCCATGCATATGATTATCATCATGATGGTGTTGATAAATTGGTCATCACCTCTGGAGCCCATTCACTTCCTGTTGTTGCGCCAGCCGAACCAAAAAGTGAGTAAAATTGTGCCTGTGCACTGCATACACACACACTCATCTCGCGCATACGAATTTAATCGATTTACAATTTAATTGTTTCTGTTTGTCTTTTCTTTTTGTTTCGATGAAATTGCAGGACGATTGAAGTGTCACTGTGATAGTTGCCCGCAATCAGTATGTGAAACGGATGGTTTGTGTTTCACAGCGGTGGAAAAGCGCGAGAATGAATTTTTATATTCGTACAGGTAAACATATCCTTTTTTAATTTGAATTTTACACACCCCTTTTCACTTACCGCGCTACCACTTAATCAACAACAACAAAAAAGTAACATTTAATTCATTCATATCTGTTTTTTCTTTTGTTTCGAAATTCCGCACGCGGGCGCGCATATTTTCACTTTTGTTGTATTTTAATCAGAAATCAGAAAAACAGTGTTCCAAATCAGGCAAAATCTCGTTCGCGATAATCGCGATGTTTTTTGTCTGTCCCGCAACTCTTTCAATCTCTCGCTCTCTTGTTTGCTCGTTCCGAAGACAATTAGAGAGAGCGAGGAGGAGAGAGAGAGGGAGTGGGAAAAATAGAGAGAGATTAATGTAGGAAATTTCCGTTACACAACCGTTATCAAACTCATAAAATCAACCATGACAGGGAACAAAACACAAACAAACTGACAGAAGAGCAACAACAAAAAAACCGAAACGTTATTATTATTCTGTGTATAAATAAATTTACATCGTTCATGTTTGTTCGATTTCAAAATAAAAGTTGTGGTTCCATGCACATCACACAGCACACATTCTCATTTTTTACAACAATACGTCCATTTGATTTTTCGTCATATACATTTTGTGCGTCACCATGCACACTATCACCATGTAAGCTTTCGAATTGAAACTGATTGTTTCGTGGAGAAAGGACACAATAACAAAGACTAAAAAAACGTTTTTTTTTCTTTGACTCATTTTGAACAAAGAAAATGGAAATCAACTCGGAATATATCACTCGTTATCTTTTCTGTTGAGTTGAAAAAAAAAGTGTGGAAAATCGTATAGAGTCGATAGATCAAGCTTGATACTCGACACACGATACTAATGAGCGACCAAACCAAACCAATACGCGTAAATAATAAATGAAAAACGAGGGACAGTCAATCGCGCTTAATGCTCTGAAAACGAAATGAGTGCATACGACTCCATCACAACATATAAACATACACGCATACACATTTTCACATTGCATTTATGCACATTCGATAGTCGCGGAAATCAATTTGTTTAACTTTATTTTCATCTCTTTTTTTGGCGCTTCATTTACAAATTTTGGTTTTTATTTTGTTTACATTCAATTTTAGTGTTAGTCACTCAATTTTTTGGCAATGTTTTTTGTTCGATGTATATTTGAAGAAAAAGTATTGTTTTAGCAAGGCCAATCTGAGCGCCAGTGGAACCGGTGCTCGGAAACGCTTCAGTTAGGTTTGCCAAAGCTGCACTGAAGTTTTGTATCTTTGCACGACGAAAAAACAAAATCAATCGAAATTACAATTCCGAAATGATGTGATCTTTCATTTTCTTCTTTAGAAAAATCTATTATATTTTAAAACCTTTGTTAATTGATCAATATCACAACCAATCGTTTCGTATAGCTGTCTTGATCGATCAAATTTTTTTCCACCGGGTCGTTCGTTTTGGTGCAATAGCAAAGGTCCAACCGCGCGTCCAGTATCAGAAATTGCTGGTCATGCATGTTGCAGTACTGCCGACTTCTGTAACAAACACTTGAGTCCGACTCTTCTTGATTATCGCAATAGTACGCTCACCGAATACACTCAAGGTGGGATATAAACAATCACAACTGTCTATGCATTAATTAGCTTTTCCTGGCATTTGTTTCCACAACAATTTCTCCATTCGTTTTGTTTTTCTCTCTCTAATAAAAACGCATAACAGTGATTAACTCGTCATTTCGTGTGTGTTCGTGCCAAAATGGATTTTCAAGCCATACTAATAGCTCGTGTTATTTGAATTAATGTTTTATTTAATCAAATTAAATCGACAGAATCCGATGAATTTCATCGACAAACGTAAGTGTCATTTCGATCATTCATCTCATTCGGATCGATGAATTTGCGTAAAAAAGGTAGATTTTTGACATTCAAAGCGGAAAAAAACTCTGAATATATCTAACTCGGCAATGAAATTGTGACCTTTTTTGTTCCCCTTATCCATAACTAATAATGAGTGAATTTTTTTCCATTAAAACTTTGCTTTTACTCTTTGTTTGAGTTTTCGATAATTTTTTTTTTACTCTTTAACCGCACCATTTTGTTTACTTTTATCATTACAATTTTGTGTGTCAATTTATTTTCGACGATGAGAAAAAAAATAATCTTATCGATCAATTCCGGCTTGCATAAAAATCATTTCGTTTTCAGATCATTTCGGGTTCTTTTGGCTTATAAAATTGAATCGTATTGTTTTTCCTCCTTGTCATTTTTTTAACCGTAACAAATTAGGTTCTTCTCACAGATTTTTTAAAGTTTTGTTTCTTTTTCGATTTTTTCAAAATTTCATAAACTCCAAACTTAGATTTGTAAGCTCTTTGTTTGTAATAGCGGCTTTTCAAGGAAAATATGACTTTAAAATCCAAAAAAATCGAAATGAAACAAGAATTTTTATGAATATCATACTTTGAAGGGACGTTCACACGCATTTTGTGTCCTACATATGTTTGGTCCAATTTTGTATGGAAACAGCCGAAATCTTCAATATCTTCTTCGATACTTAGTGGAGTAGCTATTTTTTTAATGTCGATTTTGAACTTTGAGCATCTATGATTTGCGACACCATACAAAAATTTCCAAAGCAAATGTTGGGCACAATATTGTGCACAAGAAGATTTCTCCATTCGAATACAGAGAATAAACAGAATTTTTATGCAATTATAGACCACTCTTAGAACTGTCATGTGTTTTTGCAGTTATTAAGTTAGTTGGAATTATAAAAATCTAGGAAAAATGCCTTTTTAATAGAACACAAAATGAAAATAAACATAAACGTATGCCATAGCTGTCCATGAACACTAACGAACGAATGAACGAACAAACGTTCCTGAACAGCTATGATGTATGCAATCAATTAAAAACAAACCATTAAGAAACCCAACAAGCGTAATATCCAATGTGTGCAAAATTCACAGCTGTTTGAATAAGAAGAACTATCTACCCGGCCGGCGTCCATTGGAATGTGAGGTGAACAAGGAGAGACGTGATACATACGTTGTGAAATGCTGTTCAATTGATTATTGCAATAATGATAGTACGATCAGATTGTATCCAAGTGGTCAAGGAGGTATTTCTTTTGTTTTTGCTTTGCATTTTTATATCCAGAACCGAAACAAGAACAACTATTTTTTATTTATAAATATTGAAACGAAACACACTCGTATTACGCACGCATATGCATACATAAATTTGAAGTGCAACAGTAGTAAGTAGAGTAATAATTGAAAAAATCGCGTATAGGCTAATCAATTCAGTAAATAAATCGGCACATTAGCATTTTAGCATATTATCATTATGTGTGTAAAAGCTCTTGTCGGCTGAAGTTTTAATCCAAACCAAAACAACAGCTCTTTCTTCTTATTTTTTCTTATGTGTCTTTCTTTGTTTCCTACTTTCTAAACCAAAAAAAATATATTTAAAAAAAACTCGCATTTGGAAACGCTTTACTGTTTGTTCATTTTTTATATTCTTTTTCTTTACTTTTTTAGACTGACTGTGGTCGGAATATGTAATGTTTGCTCTCTCGGCAATGTCAAAAAAATGTTCTTTTTCTGTTTTCAATTTTTTTTTTCGCTAGAAATTGGCTTGCATAGTAAGTTAGTTTGAAACCCAAAGGATTTTGTTCCAAAACTTGAACGACAAAGTTTCACACGTTTCCAAAACCCACCCAAACAAAAACACAGTAAAAAAATTTATTCATGATTTTTTTACTGTTTCCTATGTACAGTGTACACACGACAAACAAAAAATTTCCGTCTCGTATAAAAAGGTGTTACGGTCACGTGTGTGTCAACGCAAACCGAAATCTTTTGATTTTTATGTCATTTGACACCGAACGAACGCAAATGTGCCTTACGAAATGATGATGACGTCCAACATCGATTTTTCTAATCAACTTTTAAAAATCTCGAGGTTTGACGTAAAATGTTCAATCGCCCTACTGACATATCACACACACACATACCGTAATTGCTCACGGTGATTTCATTATGTTTTCTGAATGCATATATGTTTTTTTTTTAATTATCGTTTATTCCGGCTTTTTATTTATATTGAAGAAAAGAAAAGAAAATTGTGTTGTCATCGAACATGACTGAAGCTGGTAGAATTGTGTAAATGACCGCATAGGCAAAGAAAGCAACTGGGGAAAGAAAAGTGTTGATCGTTTTTTTCTTTTTAATGGTTTCGAATTCAATTCAAGTGACCCATGATTCCTTTTAAGTCCTATTTCAACTGGTGTCGAGTACAATTTTCATTCACAGAGTCAGCGTTTCTTTCGATTATCGTCTTTCTTTGTGATTCAACCAAAATATATTCGAATATCTATCAGAATTTTAAATAAATGGCTCATAATAATATTATGTTAATATTAATGTCAATGGCAATTTCGGGGCTTTTTATAAACGTTATCAATCAATTTTTGACCATAAATTTAATTTTAAATGGCCGAAGAAACAAAATGAAACTTTATTGAAGTTAACTGTTTTTTGTGATATTTTTTTTCAATCAATACCAATTTTTCCAATTTTGTTCATTTAATTCGTGATAATGATGGAGTAATGATGGTGGGTCGACTTGGTTTCAAGCTTTTAATCAATAATGCAAAAGAACGAGAAGAGCAAGATATCAATGTTAGTGAGAATGAATGAAAGAAAGGTAGATAGATAGAGTGTGTGAATGTGATTGAGAGAGGGCGTGAGAGAAAGAAAGAGAAAAGGGGAGAAAAATAAAAAAGAAACAGAAAGATTTGACCATCAATCTCCCGAATTGTAGTAAATGAATAAGAAATAGCCGATATCGCACAATATTCTATGATGTGCTAAATATGACAAAAAAAAAAACAGTCAAATCATCAACAACAACAAGCGTTCAAATTAAAATCGCGCAAATAAAGTTGTAAACATACAACTCTATCTATATTTGCTTGACAATAAAATGATTATGTGATTAAACAACATGAACGAAATGTAAAATGTGAGAACCAATGTGGAAGAAAAGTAAAACGGAAAATAACAGAGAAAAGCCGATTGAAATGTAATAAGAAAAGAATTTCGTCCGTAAAACCTATTAAATTGTAGTTTATGTTTTGAAATCATAAACGAAAAACAATCAAATCAAGTAGCTGCTTATTTCATCTTTTAGTCGTCGATTGCGCTGTTTACGCTCTAATCTAATCTTTTGATTAACCTTTTTGGGTGATAAAAATTGTTAGCGCAGCTTGTTTTTATGGTGCTCAACAACATACCCCTCAAATGTGTTAGCAAATCAACACATAAAATTGATATAGAAATGCGATCTAAATTCACAGTGTTTACGTCGATTATACATGAATTGACAGAGAGACCGACCGACACACACACACACACACACA